GGGTGGGGGGGGCGCCCCGCCTGTATAATGGTAGGGGAAACACTGAGATGAGACGGAGGAGGAGGGGCGCATTGTCATTTTTTTGAAAAGAGTAGGAAATGCATGACGACTAACTGTACCAGACCCTAAATTGAACTTCTATTAGCCCTAGATATCTTTCCCTGACCTCAGTACCTAAAATTAACCATTAACCCTGGTCCCTCATATTAACCACAGACCCCCAACCCAAAGACCCCTATGTGGCGCAAAGATCCCTATGTGGTGCAACCCGGAAAAGCCACAGGCGTGAATAACTGACGCGAGGGGGGTACCCAACGTGGCAAACTGGATGCAGATGGTACCTGACCAAGCGTCAATATGGTGACGAGTTGGGAGTGAGAGCATGTTGCATAATAACATGATTTTAGTGTAAAACTCTGGAAAAGGCAGTGGGTGATATGCATTGTTTTAGGAAATGCTAGGCCTTTTATTTTAAAGTTATCAGTAGTTTTACAGTGTTTCTGAAAGTTTGTCTTTTTTTGCAGTTTAGTCTTTGTACAGAAACTGACTGTTTGAAATTCAGGAAAATGTTTTATTTCCCCTTATTTCATTTTGTTAGTTACAGTTACAATGAATACAAGGGATAACAGTTTGACAGGCAATAAATAGTATTTTGGCACCAACAAACAAAGGCATGCAGAGTGTCCTTACAGAAATAAGGGGAAAAATAAAAAGAGACATGTGGAGGACAAACAAAAAAGTAGCCAGAGAAAAACAAAACAAAAAAACATGCAGCCCAGCTTAACTGTATCTGCCATAAATGAGGAAAAAATAAATCTAGTGAAGATTTGACAAAATAATTAAGTGATAAACAAACAAATTATTGTGAGCCAAGTCCAAACATTTTTCTCCTTAAAGGGATCCAAAATTAGTTGTAACCAGGGGTGGAAATCTTTTACTCTCTCACGATTCAATTCGATTCTGATTTTTGGGGCCACAATTCGATTCAAAATCGATTTTTCATTCAAATCTGATAATGTGAGCCCATTTATCATGTTCCCAAAGTGCTTCATCTTCATTTTGCAAACAGTCATCCCAGGGCTGGGCTAAGTGGCTCATGTGGTGTTACCATGGGAAGGGGCTGCTGATGTATACAGAGCATAGTTAGTTAGGGTACAGAAGTGATGTAAGAAAAAGCTGCCTGGTGAGAACTCAGCTGTTTGCCTTCATATAAGGAGATTTCTCAAAAGTGCCAAAATCCAGCTTCGTTTTACCAGGTTGAGAGGATCACAGAGTGAGGTCATCATCCAGTGATAAGGCTGGATATTATTACTTTATAACGCATGCTTGAGATATATTTCAACAAACTGTGAACTTCTTTGTGGTAGTAGATAAAAACTTTAGGGAAAAAATCTGTAAGAAGTTGAGACCAAACATCAAGTAGCTGAAAAAGTCAAAGACCTGAATCGGTCAAGTGGACTGCATGACCTAGTGATTACAAATGTCAGATGTTTGTGTAACAATTAATGGCTTTTAAATGTTTGATGCCTTCTGTACTTAGCTACTTTAATTTAAAAAGTTTAACAAAAAATTATGAGACATTATGCCTGAAGCAGCAGTCATTCTGTCCCACACTCGCCTCCAGCTGTGCTGTACATTTTTGTAAAATAATAATAAAAAAAAGATGATGGAAAAGGTTCCATGGCAGCAGCAGTAAGGAGCCACCCTTCCACAACAAAAACAGGAAGCTGGTTGCTTTTACAATCCCACTGCTGTATTCTGTCCCTTCTGGGAGCCTTCATTTCAGCGAGCACATGCTGTCTCTTGTAAAAAACAAACAGGTTTTTGGGTGGGTTCAGTCCAACAGCTGATGTTTTTGTGTGCAACAATCATGACACATTGGTATGAAAAATCTGAAGCAAGGCTTAACTGGAAAGTCAGAACTATTCTTTCACCTGGAGGAACTTTATTTAATCTTTGTGAGAGCAATATCTACACACGTGGCACAGCTATAAACGACAATTTTGGAAAGAGGTGTTTTAATCCTGGAGGAGTCTGGGTCTTATTACCTGTGACACTCCAGAGAACTGCAGTACAAACTTGACGTTTGAATTGTCAACACTTTGTCAACCCAGAGGAGCTGAGTGGAAATTTTGTGGAGTAACTTTTCTAACAGAGTTGATATGTCAGCACCAGTCTTTTTCAATAAGCACCTGTCAGGCTCCAGGTTGAAACGCCTGCGTGAAATCAATAATAATATGAATATGGATTAACTAAAGGGCATCCAGACCCTTAAACTTAACTGTGACTCTGTCAGAACGAGGTAATAAATTACACTCACTATAAGAGAGACTAAAAGAAGCTGTCCGTCAGCTCAGCTCTGCTGCTCAGACATGTTGCAGAACACTGAAAATGGAGCTGAATGTGAGTGTTCATCAGTGATGAGTGCTGCCACTGAAAACACTCATTCTAACTACATAATGAGAACAAAGGAAGCACAAAAGATAAAACTGAAAATAAATGATGGTTAGGTTGATTAGGTGTCTGAAGGACACGTCTAATGTTTAACACAAGCAGAGCCTGAATATGTGAAAACCAGAAGCATAAAAGACACATTTAGAAAACAAACATCACAAATCAGACAAAAAAGGACCCTGATACGTGAGCGCTGCTCCAGAATGAAAAGCCCAAACAGGCTTCGTGTTGTTAGAAGCAGCGCAGACGACTGCTTGCACGTTCAAGTGTTTGTGTTGGTGTGAAGCCAGCCGGCTGCTCACCGTAGCCGTGGGATCTCTTCATGTGGTGTTTCATGTTGCTCTTCTGGGTGAAGCTGATGCTGCACACCTCACACTTGAAGGGCTTCTTTCCTGTGTGTTTCACCATGTGGACCTGCAGAGCACTCTTCTGGTTGAAGGCCTTGTCACACTGGCTGCACTTGAAGGGACGCTCGCCTGAGAAACATGGAGCACAGCTGGGTTGGAAATGCAGTGGTAACTAAATGACTGCACATGAACATTTAGATAAAATGGAAAAAGAGAAATAAATTAAAAGCAAGTCTGGAAAAGGCAGCATCCATTCTTATATCCAAATCTTGTAAAGTCCACTAAATCTGTTGTATTTCATTCAGTAGTTGAATTTTTGGAACACTGCGGTGATGTTCTTTTCTTCCACATTTACCAATCAAAATGAAGGAGAGAACAAGACATGACAAAAATGTCTTCGACAGTGGAGGAAGAGAAATTCATCTTTTCAGTCACTAAGAGAGATTTTGTAATCGAACAACAATCAGCCACAAGAATAACTCTGATAATGAGGGAATGAGTGATTCAGGCATAAACACACAGGCTGTTCTATCAATACACACACACACACACACACACACACACACACACACACACACACACACACACACACACACACACACTGTCTCTCTCTTAATCAGACTGATTGCTTG